ACTGTGTTTTATCATGTGGTTCATGACAGTCATTGCATAAGAAATGAAGGTTACTTTCCTAAAAAATGGTAAAAAGGAAGCTTTTTTTAAAAACCTCAAGGACTTGAGGAATATAGGTGCTGCAGGCAAAGCCTAATGACAGGCGTGTGTGGCTTGGCTTCTGTGCCCTGGAAGGCTGACTGAAACTCAGTCTAAAAGATCCTTGTATATCCAGCAGTACAGTCTTAAAAAGCTCATACAATCAATTGCTATTCCTGTTATGTTTTGTAAATAATCCAGGCTAAATTAAACCTAAACACAGTAAATGAATTAATCTTAATTTGACTCTTTAATAAAAATAAGGCTAATTTTAAAAGAAAAATTATGTTTCAGCCCTGGCTAGTGTGGCTCAGTGGACTGAGCACCAGCCTGCGAACTGCGGGGTCACCAGTTCAGTTCCTGGTTGGGGCACATGCCTGGGTCGCGTGCCAGGTCCCCAGTGGGGGTGCACGAGAGGCAACCATGCATTGCTGTTTCTCCCCCTCTCTTTCTCTCTCCCTTCCTCTCTGTCTAAAAATAAATACATTTTTAAAAAATAATAGAAGAAAACAGTTTCAATAAAATCTCTTATGCACAATTATGGAAATTAACTTTAATACAATGTATTGTTTGTAAAAAATTTTTTATCACCTATAAACTAGACTGAGTACTAGTGTTTCATTTTTCCTTCATCCTTTAATTTGAAATTATTAAGAACTGCTAACACAGTATCCACCTTACAGAATATACCTAAAGCACCTAATATCATCAGAAATGATTAAACTACAAATAAAAAAAACACATCAAATTGTCACTGCTTAATTGTATTCCAGCAAAAGCCTCACATTTGGAAGTCTTCTCATCTGACACTCTTACAGACTCACAAACTGGTTTATGATTTGCTGTGTTCATAAACCTTTATATTCTATTTTCATAAAATGTACACCATGACCTTGTTTACCTGCCTTCTCTGTCAAACTCTTGGGGATTGCCTGGTTGGATTCTGCAAAAGCAACACCTTCCTCCAACAAGCAGGAATGCTAACTGCTAAAAAACAACTGCTCCGACTGTTGGGTCTGCACAAAGTTCCCAAACATGGCCTCTGCTGGCCTGCCATGAAGAATCTGCCCTGTGAACCAGACATGCTGTCCTCACTGCAAGGTGAAGGCTTCTTTCTTTTTCACTTTTTTAAAAGATTTTATTTATTTATTTTTAGAGAGAGGGGAAAAGAGGGAGAAAGAAACGGAGAAAAACAACAATGTGTGGTTGTCTCTGTGTGCCCCCTACAGGGGACCTGGCCTGCTACCCAGGCATGTGCCCTGACTAGGAATCAAACCAGTGACCCTTTGGTCCTCAGGCCGGCACTCAATCCACTGAGCCACACCAGCCAGGGCAAAGCTGGAAGGCTTCTGACCGTCTCTTCATGCATTCAAAGAAATGCATGAGGTGTTTTGCATTGTTAAAAGGGAAGAATAACAGCACCAAGCCATAGGTCATGTACACAGTTTGGGACGGTGTTGGGTGACTATCAAAATTACAAAATACAATAGCCCATACCTGTATATATTAAATACAGAAACAGAACTACATATGAAAATGTACAACTCATAAGCTGAATGCCAGCAACCCTATTCAAGAATCTTACAGCACTGACTACTATAGACTATTGGTGGCGTTCCCTGAATCTCTCTGGTTTCTGCATTGCATTTTTAATCTTAGCATGCAGCTTTTACTATATCTGTAATACAGGAGTACAATGTGCCAACATGCTCAACACACGGGTTCCCCTAAATTAACACAAAAAATATTAGGTGGAAAAGCAATAATGGGGTGGAGTGGGGAGTCTATGGACATGGCCCTTACTCCTCCCACGACTAAGAGGCCCTCAGCCAGAAGGGATGTGTCTTGTCTTGAAAATGGATCGTAACTTCCACCTTACTGCCTTTTGGGAGTGGCTTCCTGTCCTGTGACTGCTTCTTGACCTTTTCTTTACACTAAGGTAATGTAGTTTAGAGTCATGCATAGGACACGTACCTCTCCTCTCTCTGGGAACCCTTAAAACAAGTCTCAGACACAGAGGAGTGCAGTCCTGCTTGCTGATCCACTATATTGTAGGGAATGTTGAAGTTCCCTATAATATAAATAATAAAGGTAATGTCTGTTCTACCCAATCCTCCTTGGGGATTTTTCGACTTATCTTAACGAATAGTCGAAATCCCTGGATTCAACTTCCTGTGTTACACCAACTGAGTGAACTTCCTTTATCAGAGTTTAGAGTATTAAAATTAAACACTCGTTCTAAGGGGAGCCTTCTAAAACTGACTTCACCTACATTGGTATTTTGATGACAGGAAAATGAGATATCACACACCAGGCTGGTGCAGAAAGCTCAAACTTTGTCTTCTCCATCTCTTGATAATAGTACAGAAATACAGACACAACTCATAACTGCACCAAAAAGGACAATACTTTTTGTGAGGTAAAAATATTGTAGTATGCCTTCTTAATTCAAATCCAGGACTAGTAATGATGCTTTTACAGAACTAAAAGAGGAGGTACTTATGTAATAAAAAATTTGCAACAATTTATTTAATATCCTTTTTGTAACCCATCCCACTACTCAAATGTAACTCTTTTTTAATAGCTGAGTATCAGCAAACAAGTCTTCAATAAGCATATCAAATGGATCCCACCAGTAGGAATCAATTAAGGGAAAAGTTATGTATTTTAAAAGAATATTAAAAATTTGACTATCAATTAATTGCCACCATCAAACATGGTGTCTTTCCTGGTTAATAATGAATTAGGGGTTACTGAACAATTTCATGACAGAAATGTTTTAGTGTAGTCTTTTAAGTTAATAGTCATAAATTGAAGCCAGAAAAAAAATTATGCTGCAACCTAAAGTCAAAAACACCTGAGAATCTGAACAGTAAGTAGGAATCAATGAATAATTCTGAAATCTCTTAGACAATTAAACCCTCATATTTTCAGCAGTAGAAACCTATCAGACCGAACCCTCCACTCCTGAGTAATCTAGAATTAACAATGGTTTATTATTTGTAACAAGGGTGGCTATTTGTAAGATTTATCAGCTCCTCTAAGGATGTTCATAAATAAGTTTTGGGGGACAATGTGATTTTACTGAAATACCATGCAAGTTGGGAGTATGTAAGTGAAGTTTCAAGTTCTCACAGGGTCTAGGACTCAAAAAAGGTTAAGAATCATCTATTGTAAAATCTGAGGATCTCTTTCCAGAGTCCAAAAACATTATATTATGTGTTAATCAAATACTAAAATACAAGAAATCTCCCAAATGAAAATTTAAAACAAGAAGAAAAATCTGATTTTCAGTTACTTTTAAAAGCAAATACATATTATCAGACACACATCGCCCCTTAAAAACCCTACACGGGGCAAAATAGCTTATACTAGATAGTAATACTTTAAAATTAGTAATGAAATTCTTAACTTGAATAATGTTTTAGGTATTTTTTATCTCTTCAAATATTTGAAGCTGCCCTATAGAGATAAGCTTATAAATATCTCTACCCATTTATTAGTCAATTTATTATTCCATATAGACCCTTACCTACTAACATATTTTATGAAGCATGCTCCTCTGAAAAAATGACTAAAACACCCACCATTTTAAGCTACCAGCATTTTAACCATGCAATCTGAGGAAAAAAATCCAAATATCTTCCTCCAACCATAGTTTCTATTACTTCAAACATTACTAATACTACGCATATCCTATATCTTGGTGGTTCAGAAATTTAGCAAAGCATCCAAATGCTGGGTTGGCCAAAAAGTTTGTATGGTTTTTCCATAAAACAAAAGACATATTTTTCATTTTCACCAATAACTGTATTGATTTGGATACTCTATGTCAGCTATCTCCCACATGGTATAATGATGATTATTTTCAATTAATGTCTCGATTTGATCACTATTAACTTCAGCTGGTCTACCCGACCATGGGGCACCATCCAGCGAGAAATAGCCAGCATGAAACTTCATGAACCACTTCTGACATGTTTGATCAGTCACAGTACCTTGTGTATACTGCACGAATCTTTATTTTTTGCATTTCAGTTGTGTTTTTACCTTCCCTGAAATAAGAAAGCATAATATGCCAAAAATGTTGCATATTTTCCTCCATCTTCAATATTAAAATGGCTACACAAAATTCACCAATTTTGGTAAGTTTTTTAAATGCAAACTGATATGACAGCTGTCACAATACAATCTAACAAAACTTCTGAATGAAGTTAAAGACAACTAAGTGCTACTACAGCCATTTTTCATCTTATGAAAAAAACAAAGTTTTTGGCCAACTAAAGGAAGGAAGGGAGAGAGAGAGAAAGAAAAAGGGAAAGAAAGGAAAAGGAAGGCAGGCAGGCAGGCAATTTAGGAATCTTCCCAGATATCGTAATTAGCAACATTTCTTTTAACAAGCACCTATTATGATGCCAGGCAATATGCTCAGACTTTGTATTTATTATTACTTACAATATCTAACACTTATACTAACAACACTAAATACTTAAATACTTAGCAGGACAGGTGTTAGTCTCAGGAGAAACAAGCTCCATCCCTAGGTCCCTGTGCTGTTACTATTCCCTCTGGGACCATGTGTCTGTGGAACAGACTGCTGCTGCACCACACAGACCAGGCAGTATCTGTGTGCAGGACACCTGGCCCTGGCACATGTACTCTGCTGATGGTCCTCTGTGCCATCACTGCCCTTCAGTGTTTCTTTCAATACTGGCACGTATCTAACATTGTTTCACCAAGAAACAACCAACAAAGAACGTTAGGGACATTTTCTTTGTATTTTAACAAAAATCTCCACTAATAAAACTGAACTATAACATTACATTTGGAAACAGTCATTAATGAGGAAATTAACCTAAATAAAATTAATGCCATCATACTTCATTTGTCATCTTTTATTATATTTAAGGTACACAATATACCTTTCAATTTGTGGAAGCTGTTTCTTGGCCTGAACTGCTTTAAGAAATTCAGTAAAATATTCTGGCTTTACAATCGGACATCCACAGATGAGTGCACATATTGTCTAAAAAGAAGAAAACATATGTGAATACATATACTTATGCTAGCCCATTTTAAAGAAAAGTTTTAAGTTATAGACTTTGAATGACCTATTTATTCTATTCTTCCCCTCTCATCTCTCTATAAAGATGCCACAATCTGTCAGTCAGTTCAGTCACTGCTTAATTTAGTATACAAATCTCTATACAATTACTAAATTATAAAACCTACCAATTACAATATTAATTTAAAACTTATTTGGGGAGGTTGAACAAAACAAAACATAAATCAATATTTCAATGTATTCCAATTTTAAAAACATTGAAATGCAAAAAAGAGTAAGTTTGGATTGAGGCAATGTAACACCTGCCCTAGAGAAGACAGTATTAAGAGATAAACATGAGAGACAACCTTTCAGCCTAAATGCCTTTCCAACAGATTGTGACTATGGAATAAAATCTTTTCAAGAAAGTCAACAGAGGAGTAACTGTTTGGGGTTGAGTAAAAGCTCAAAATAAGAATATTCAGATAGGATGGGGACTTCAAGTAGCAAGTGAATTAAGCTATCAGCCTCAAATAAGACATATCCACAAAATCTGAGGAAGATTAGAAATCACCACCACTGGCAATGAAACTAAAAAGGACTCAGCATAAATCTAGGAATTAATCCAGTTAAAGAATTTACACTTCTAATAACATGGGGTTTTACCTAAATATAAGCAAGCAATTTGGAGTGTCTCTCAAGAACAGAATCTGAAAGACACTGATGAATGAAATAACGGAATCCTTGTATGAAGCAAAAGTTGGACTGAGTAAACTCCAGAACATGTAATCCTGGGCAAAGGATTTAATTGCTCAGTGCCTCAATATCCTTTGCAGAAAATAAAAATTGGAACTGAATGTCTTTTTACATTCTATTTTTCCCAACATTCAATGATTTTAAAAACAAAAGCTAACCTGTATTTTTTGAAAATTTACCAAAAAAGTAATGACAAGGTTTTCTTTTTTGGTATGATTGATCAGAAATATTGAAAGTAACAGCTCTGCAAGCTTTTGTTGGTTTATATCCAGGTCTCTAATGGGGAGAGCCATATGGTGGCTGTTAGCTTCCAGTCACTAAAATAGTGGGTGCTCTGGTGAATGGGTGCTTATTTCCAGGTCTGTCAGGGACTCAGCTTGTATTATATACCTAAGAAGCAAGGGCACAATTACCTCTTCTCCTTCTCAGGTACCTTGATATCTTAGAGTCCACACATAAAATTCAGATCACTATAAGGCTGCAGTCCCGCTGTAAACTTGTAAGTAAACATTTTATTTTGTTATCTGTACATGTACCTGCATAAATTAGTACTCTGCTGAACTTATAAATCAGTTTCATAAACTTGCAAAGATTAAACAACCCTTGGTCAGAGAAAACCCCACCAAGATACAAGGGTTGTTTTTCCGCCCCTTTTTTTAATTGTTGTTCGAGTACAGTTATCTCCATTTTCCCACCACCACTTTCCCCAATCCCCCCCACCCCCGACTTTGTCCATGGGTCCTTTATACATGTTCCTTGAATAACCCTTCCCCTTTACTCCCCTCCTCCCTCTCTTCTGGTTACTGTCAGTGTGTGTTCTTTATTTCAGTATCTCTGGCTATACTTTGCTTGCTTGTTTAGTTGATTAAGTTCCACTTATAGGTGAAATCATGTTATTTGTCTTCTGCTCCCTGGCTGATTTCACTTATCATATTGATCATATTGCTCTCCAGTTCCACCCATGTTGTCACGAAAGGTAGTACCTTTGTCCTTCTTTCTGCTGCATTGTATTCCATTGTGTAAATGTACCATGGTTTTTTGATCCACTAGTTACTAATGGGCACTTAGGTTGCTTCTAGCACTTGGCTATTGTAAGTTGTGCTGCTATGAACATTGGGGAGCACAGGTTCTTTTGAATTGGCGTTTCGGGATTCTTAGGGTATAATCCCAGCAGTGGAGTTGCCAGGTCAAAAGGCACTTCCATTTTTAGTTTTTTGAGGGAATTCCAAACTGTTTACCACAGTGGCTGTACCAGTCTGCATTCCTACTAACAGTGTACTAGGATTCCCTTTTCTCCACAACCTTGTCAGCACTTATTGTTTGCTGACTTGCTTACGATGGTCATTCTGACTGGTGTGAATTGTTATCTCTCTGTAGTTTCAATTTGCATCTTTCTGATGGCTAATGATGATGAGCATGCTTTCATGTCTCTAGACCCTCTTTATGCCCTCCTTGGAGAAGTGTCTGTTCAGGTCCTTTGTCCATTTTTAATTAGACTGCTTGTCTCCCGGGAGTGGAGTCATCTGAACTCTTTATATATATTGGAAATCAAACCCCTGTCTGAAGTATCATTGGCAAATATATTTTCCCATATGGTTGGCTCCCTTTTCACTTTGCTAATGTTTTTTTTAGCCATGCAGAAGTTTTTTATCTTGATGAAGTCCCATTTGTTTATTCTTTCCTTTATGTCCCTTGCTCTTGGGGACATATTGGTAACAATATTGCAGCATGGAGTATCTGAGATTTTCCTACTTATGCTCTCCTCTAAGACTTTCATGGTGTCGTGACTTATATTTAAGTCTTTTAGCCATCTTGAGTTTATTTTGGTGTATAATGTAAGTTGGTGGTCAAGTTTTTTTTTTTTTGCATGTAGCTGGTCAGCTCTCCCAACACCATTTGTTGAAGAGGCTATTTTTACTACATTTTATGCTTCTGGCCCCTTTGCCAAATATTAATTGACCATAGAGACATGGGTTTATTTGTGGGTTCTCTATTCTATTCTACTGATCCATGTGTCTGTTCTTATGCCACTACCAGACTGTTTTGATTACAATGGCCTTATAATATAGTTTGACATCAGGTTTGTCATCCCTTCTACTTTGTTCTTCTTTCTCAAAATTGCTGCGGCTATTTGGGGTTGTTTATGGTTCCATAAAAATTTTTGAAATGTTTGTCCTATATCTGTGAAATATGTCACCGATACTTTAATCAGGACTGCATTGAATCTATAAATTGCTTTGGGTAGTATGGACATTTTGATGATGTTAATTCTTCCAATCCATGAACCCAGTCCAAGATACAAGTATGACATGAGGTTCAATCTGAGCAGCAAGCCCTCCTCTATGATACCTCTGTAGCTATAATACACACATTTTCATTTAATTATGTTAGATATTAAAGGATTTTTCTATCATGTAATAAAGGAATCTAAATTATTTGTTGTTTTCCACTGTAGATATTAACCTAAAACAATCCTATAAATCTATGATCAACCTTTTTAAAAGGAAATAAACCACTTTACCATGTCTTTCTTCAATTAACTTTGGATGTTATTACTGTACTTGCTGTACATGTGCTCCCATGTATAATGCGCACTCATGTTTTTGTGTGCATTATACATGGGATTGTGTAATCATTATGCCCATATGCATCCTTATTTCTCCCTCAAAAATTTGGGCAAAAAAGTGCACATTATACATGGCAAAATACGGTAAATCTGATGAGGATACACGAATCTGAAAATGCTCCAAAGTATGTGGCTGTTTAAATGAATAATCAACATCTTCTAAAGGTGCCTACTTAAAATCTTTAAACTCTGGGGAGTAAATTAAGGTAATATTAAACTACAGAAACTTTTAAGAATTATTTGTGATTAAGGCCTTAAACCAAATGAAAGAGCATGAGATGAGAGTCTTGAGGAAGACAACTTGATGACACAGGAGATACTAATTCTGAAGATGGACAGTTGCTCTCTAATCACTTTGCTCTTATGATGAAAACACAAGCTATACATTGTATTAATCCTGGTGATAACAAAAATCATTTCTAAAAATGCCAAGTCAAAATCTGGAATATAATTTTATCTGCTTCTGTTTTATCACATTATAAACATGTTACTGAAAAGCCATTCCAACCTAAATGGTATACAAAGGCATGGGAATGGCATATATAAATATACGATAGTTCTAATGAGTTTAAATTAAATGACTTTAAAAACAACTGTGTATAGTAGGTAAGCTTGAATTCACAGATCTTATTTTAACGTAATAACAAGGCATTCAACCTACTTTAATGGTAACTTTAACTGCTACCATGACAAGGTGAGTACATTCTTCTGTCCAATTGTTTACAGTAAGTCCTCCAAGCTGCAATATGGTTTGATTTAAAGTAGTTTTCCCAGAGACATCTAAACAAGAAGAGCATGCAATCAAAGGCTCATACTCCACTCTGTAAATGAAAATGAGTTACACAAAGTTGTTATCACAGATTCAGAGATGACAAATTAAAGAACTTTAAACTTGAGAGTCACATCACATGTTATTTTAATTTTTTATAGATAACTGAACGTTCTAACTAATAAGAATCATTGTTCCCTCTAAGTGGAGCTGCGATTAAGAAAAAACCAACACAGTTAACATTATACTTTCACCTATGCAAAATCAAGGTTTCCAGAGCTCACTCAAACTCTTCTTCCCTCTGGTCACTTCCTATGACTGACAATGCCCACTGACCCATGTGGTACAAAGTTTACCACTGCACTAAGTACTAACTAAATTAGACTTCCCTGTCATTTAGAATTTGATTAATCCAAAATAAAGTGCTCCATTTTTAACACCAATTTTTAAAATTCTTACCTGAATTTACTTTCAAATACTCCAAAAGTAATTCTATCCCCTGTCTGCAAAGTTTGGGGAAGGCCATTCTGTATTTTTTCGTCATTAACAAAGGTACCATACTTAGAATTATCTTTTATTGTCAATATAGCGATTTGATGTGTTTGACTCTGGGGGAAAAAAAAACCGAAATGACAAATAATTTAAAGTGTTTTACCAGTCAGTAATATTCAAAAATAACGTTTTTCTATACCTATTGAGAATAGACACACAAAATTTAAGTATCACTGAACAGATCCAGCATCTGCTGGTATGCAGTACTTACTAAAAATGTTTTTTCTTTCTTATTACCTCTAGCATTATCACTAGCACAGCTATTTGTAGTTTTTAGTACTTTTATCAACCAAAGTTGTAATTCAACCAACCAACCCACCCACCCACCCAAACTCAAACACATCCAAAGAAGCTGTGAGGCATAAGTAACAGTTGTTTTCCCTAATAAAACAAGTCAGTTCTTACTGTGAAAACCCCCATTGCATGGGGAAATATCCACCTTCACAGGGCTGCACAAACCCTTTCAAGCAGGACACCTGAGCATCTCTCGATGCTCCATCCCCAAGCTTGACACACTCTAAGCACTCAATGAATGCTTAAGTAAATAAATATAAATATGTTCTACTTCCTCTGAGTTTCTAAATCATTAAAATAAACTGTAAAATACTGAAACAAACTTCAAGTATCAATAGGCAAATACCACTGGTACCACTGCCAAAACGTATTTAATTTTTTAACTTTAAAAAAACAAACAAATTTATGAAGTGAAAGGTCCTGCAGATTTCTCACACACGCAGCAAGCAATCTTTGTGATCCAACCCCTGTGAGTCAGTGAAGTACAACCAGTAACACACCAGGCCGGTCGTGGGAAAGCCAGTGATTAATGTGGCGTGACTGCGACTGACGGACTGATCGTTTTCAATGAGGATGTCACAGTTTTTCCTTCCAACCACGTACTCCACACCCGTCAGAAGTCGGTATGGTTCTAGAATTAAGAGAAAACTGATAAATGCACACGTGTACACCGACTTACACGCGTGTACATAAAACAGGTACTTAAATGAAATATTTTATTTTGCTATTTGAATGTTAACAATGCACTCATAAATGAAACGTTTTTCCAGTGAAGCTTCACTGAAGGGCACAGAAGGCTGAGTAGATGGAAAACCACCCTGAGGAGCCTAAAAGACCCTCTGTTCATATCTAAATTTAAAGCGTTAATGATCTTCCTTGTAGCGGCCCGTGCACACGCGGTTTGCTCCGCGCAATTCAAGGTCAATGTGCCCCCTTTGGAACTTGATGGACGGACTCCACAACCTCTCGGTGAACATACAACGTGAAACCACGGCCAAAAGAAACGCTGAGTAACACAGGAACTCGAGGTAGCAGAATATGAAACACGGTTTGGGACCGGGGGGCGTGGGGGACGGAAAGCAGCGCGCAGGGAACGCCCTGTTCCCATCGCCGAGACAAGCATACCACACCCACGTCCCAGGTGTTCCACACAGAGAGGCGTCCCGTCACCTCAGCTTTTCACAGTGAGCGCCTGCTGTCTCCTCCCGGCTGGACCCGCCACAGCCGATGCCAGGCACTCATTCGGCGGCCAGCCAACCCGCAGGAGCCGTTTTCACCGGAGGGGACGGGGCGGCGCCTCGCTGCGGACTCTCAGGGCCTCTAGGCCTTCCCACCCAATCTGCCCGAAGCTCCGCCCCGCCTCGCGCAGGGCACACCACCCGGACACAGGACGCTCAACCCGCCCCCGACGCTCCGCTTCCTGTCGTCGCCGGAAGATGGCAGGACGGACGGGACCGAGCCGGAAGCGCTCCTCAGACCCTCTACCCCGGCACGTTCCTGGGGAATCGTCCCTCTATCCCCTCCCTTACTCCTCACCTCGGGCTGGGCCCGCGTCGGGTAGCAGCTTCCACATGAATCTTGTCTGTGTCGGAACGACGTGCGTCAGCGTAACTGCCACCTACAGACACGCGCTGCCGCTGCGACTGCGAACTCGCGGGCCCCGTCACGTGCTCACTCCCGGGACCGCGCCTGCGTAGGAAACGTAGGCGGAGGTCGGCGTGGCTTCTGGTCGCCTCCTGGTGGTTAGGAGGGAATAACGCAATAGCTGTGGAAGTGTGCTGTATTTAAGGGACTGGAAGTATGGATCCCATTTTGAGGAGTTCGCCAATATTAGATTATCTGCTTTTTTTTCTGATTGGGAGTGGAAATAGCTGTAGAAATTAACTCCAAAGCAACGTAAGAAAACTTAGTACTTCTTAGTACGCTGACACACTAATCACGTATGTAATTCCATGTGTTAGCAATTCCCTTAAATTGCAGTTATTCCTTTGTATGACGCCTAATGATGGTGAGGATGATTATGGCGAACACAAGGGTTTCAACCCGTCAACTCACTATTTTCACTCTTTAAATTCAAATCAATTTCTTCCCTGTTTCATAATGTTACACTTTATCTAACCAGTAGCTGAATTCTTTCCATTTTCACTTGGATCTCATTGGTGCAGGTTCTACTCCAAGAGCCCCTAATCCTTCATCACCTCTTCCTGCGCAGATCCATTTCACATCCTGCATACAACAGTGTAAACACCCTAGAACACACTGCTAATCATAGAAGTTCTGGTTTTCTTTTCTTTCTTTTTTTAAAAGATTTTATTTATTTATTTGAAGGAGTAGGAGGGAGAAAGAGAGGAGAGAAATTATCAGTGCGAGAGATGTTGATTGGATGCCTCTCACAAGCCCCCAACCAGGGACCTGGCCTCTAACCCAGGCCTGTGCCCTGACTGGGAATGGAACTGGTGACCCTTTTGGTTCACAAGAGGGCACTCAGTCCACTGAGCCACACCAGCTAGGGCAGAAGTTCTGGTTTTCAAAAGCATTCTGTACTGTAATGAGAAGAAAAAAAAGTCACTTATAAAGGCTGGTTTACCAGTCTCTTATGAACATAGATGCAAAAACCCCTAAGTACAAAATTAGCAAATTGAGTCAGGTGATATTTAAAAGGGATGCTTATGACTAAGTAGAATTTACTCCAGAAATGGAAGGGTGGATGTTATCATCAGAATAACAGGGATAGAAAGAAAGAGAGATCTATGATTATACTGGTAGTTGCAGAAAAAGTATTTGATAAAATTCAACATCATTCATGATATTAAAAAAACACTTTCAACAAAGTAAGAATAGAGGGAACCTGCTTGATCCAATAAAGGGCATTTATGAAAAGACTGAAGTTTATTTTATATTTAAGATGAATTATTGAACATTTCCCCTAGCATTAGGAATGAAGCAAGGATTTATTTACTCTTGCCACTTATTTTCAACATGGCATTAAATGCTCTACCAATGTAGTAAAGGATAAAAAGAAAAGGCATGTGGATTAAAAAGGAAGAAACACACTAATCTTATTCACAAAATATATGATTATGTGTACTGAAAATTTAGAAGAATCTCCTGGCAAATTATTTGAATTAAAAAGTTTACTGGATACAAAGTCTATACATAGAATTTAATTGTATCCTTTATTCCAGAAAATAAATAGAAAATTACATACATAAAATAGATAATTGTAATAGCATGCAAGTCATTAATACTTAGCAATAAATTTATTATAAATGTAATATAAAACATTATTAACTATTATACATTACCAACAAAAATTAAGTCCTAAATATATATTTATACCACATTCATGAATTATTAAGATGTAATTTCTCCCAAAATTTGATTCAGTGCAATTTCAATATCAGAAGATGTTTTGAGTGGAAATTAATAGATTCTAAAGTATGTATGGAGATACATAGGCTGAGAAAAGTCAAAGCAATTTTGAAGAACAAGGCTGAAGTACTTACACTACCAGATAATAAAATGTACTACACAGTTACTGTTTTAAGTCTATGTTCTATTGCCACGAGGAAAGAAAATAGGCAAACGGATCAAAATAGAACCACCCCCCAAAATCCACACATATAAAGTAATTCAAATTTCAAAAGTAATAATACAGACTGAGCAATGAAGGAAAGGTTGTTTTTTGTTTGTTTTTCCAATAAGGATACTGGGGATATTGGTAAGCACTGCAGAAGAAATAAAGATTGAACCTATAGCTCATACACACATGAAAAAAATACATCAACCCCATATGGATTGTAGATCTAAATATGAAAGTAAAATAAACATTTTAAAAGAAAACACCATTAAGAAATACGTAAATCTTTCTTAAACAGGACACAAAGTAAGTATGTCTTGGACTGCAGAATCCCTAAATTTCACTGATTTGATGGACCCAGAACAATTAGTAGAGGTTTGCTTGTTGCTTTTCTAGAGGGTATACATGCTCACCAGGGCCTTCAATACACTTGTAGATTCTTGTGAATCCAACCTCTCGCAGAATACCAACGGTAGAAGTGACGTTCAGGTCGCGCCCCTCAGTTAAAACTAAAGTCTGTAAGAGATATCGACACAGTGCTGTTGCCAAATGTTCACGATATAATGTTTCTTATAAGTCAGCCGGGCAACTGCTCGGCTACCTGCCTTCTAAATGACCCAGCACCAAGGACTAGACAAGAGTTACACAAGGTAACTATGCTATTCACTTAGTTTTTGTTGAATGCAGGGTCACTCAAAGTAGAACAGCAATATATATTAATATCCTACTTATACACTAACAATTTAAAAGAAATAAACACACACACAGAGCAATTAATGGGGAAAAATCAACCGGAGTCCCAGCTCCGGGAGACAGCATGGTGGTCAAGGGAGCTCAGTGTCTTGCAAGGAAAGGTTTCCAGAGCCAGGCGGGCAGCAGGATAGATGAAGTCCTCAGTCCGGCAAGGCAGACACTCTGGTGGCTGATGCCAAGGGAGATTAGTGTGGCATGGAGCAGCACTTTGGTGTGTGGAGCTCAGCTGTCTCAGCAGTGGCCTGAAGCTTGCTTCAGTTATACCCTTGAAAGTGATGTACTCCATCCTTTTGAGTTTTTCGATGAGGGTCTTGGCATTCCCGATGGTAAGTGGGGAATTTCCCCAGAAGCCTATTTCTGGGTGGTCCCGCTTTGTAGACAAGCGTATTTTGGACACATGTGCAGATATTTTGGATGTGTCTTCTTTCCACATGTGTCTTCACATGACTCAGGTAATTTCCCTTTTGATCAAAAGTGTCATGGCTGACCAGCAGCCATCTTGGTTGACATGAGCCACTCCATTTTGTTTTCCTATTTTGCTATACTTTATGCTATTTTGACCAGGCTAATGCCATTTCATTGGTCCTGCTCTCCATATACCCTACTAGGACACACAACTGACAGAGAGCAGGAGCCTCTGAGAGCCTAGCCCTGAAGTGCCCGGCTCAAACTGGTGGTTGTAGGTACCTGGAAGCCAGGTCCACCAGAGACCCCAGTGCCGGCCCCAGCCGGCTCCTAGGCCTCCCCAGCCTCCGCTCCCCTCCCCAGCCACGCTCCTACTCCGCCTCAGTCGCAAAGGCCTCCCAACTCCGCCCCTTGGTGTCAGACACGCCTCCGAACGCCGGGCAGTCAGTCACGCCCGGTCGTCGCAGGCCCCGGCTGTTTGTCGTCCTGCTACTTTCATGGCGCTGTTGGGCAGGGTTTCCTTTGCTGTGGGTCACGGTCCTCGGCGGGTAAGGAGGCGCTGGGAGGCCAGATTAGGTTCCATCGAGCGCCCTGCTTCTGGCCGCCTGGGGGTGGCTTCCGGGGAGCTGGGTGACTGGAATCCCTGGCTTGGGGTGTGTAGGGGCACGCTGTTCTCAGGGTCGCGCTCCCAGTCGTGTGCTAACTGGGACAGAGTGTACCGTGCGCACGCGACCTTGTGACAGGCTGGGGACAGGGCCGGTCGCACTGGCCTTATCTGCGGCCGTTTTTATGAGGGAAACTCGTTTATGTGCTATCTGTGCGATTACACATTAATACAAACAAATTCACACAAAAAGAGAAAGAAAGAAGAATAGAAACCCCCTGTTCGGATGCTCCACCTAGAGGTGGTGCTGGGCGGCACCCACCTATGCCCCCACCTCAGCATCCAGACGAGACGAGAGTGTGCGCAATAGCCCCTCCCCCAGCTAAATAAAAAAAATCCTAATAGATTAAACTAAACCAAGAAGCACCGTTTCGGTAGCCAGGTACAAAAAGTAACCTGCCAAATGTGAGAACACTTTTAACAGTTTGACAGAATAGATGCCCTGGTGTTCTGTTCTTGAAAAACATGGACAAATTTCAAAGAAGGTAAACACAAGGATATTGTGCATCTCCCAAGTAACAAAACTTTCTTTTAAAAAGTCAGATTCGTTCAAGACTGGTTTCGCTGATAATGCTTCCTCTTCCTGTGAAGATTTAGGTTATAGGTCGTTGCTGGAGAAACTAATTGTTTCTGGGTTTCTGATTCCTTCACACGGGCATTTCTCATTTCAATCCCACAGCAGTCCTGGGGTAGAAAAGTCTCCAGAATCTTTTATAGCACAAATCATTAGGATCGTGGTAATAAAGTCACAGGTCTTCTGACACCATTGGACAGTATAGGTTGAGGGAGAAAATGAACTCATTTAAAATTGTAACCTGACAATTTTGAAATTACTTTGTTTAAGAAAAATTTTGAGGGTGGGGATTTGTAGGCAGAGATCCTATTGCTGTGAGTGGTGGGTCCCTTGGGTTTGAATTCCCCAGAGAAGAGTCTGCACATTTGTGAAGCAGCATGATTTTGTATGCAAATACAACTTGATACAGTTAAAACCATATTTCTTTTGTTATACATCCTATTTAAGAAGTGATATGTTAAATTGTGTAATTAGCTACAAAACAAACACTTTTTTCAGAACTGGCTCTGTACCTAGCGCTGGGGACAAAGATTTAAAAAAAGAAAAACAAAACCTAAATTAAAACACTGCTCTTGGTTGTATTGATGAAAACATTCACTCACCCAACTCTTTATCAGGAAATGCTAATTAAGTGGCTACTGTGTGTTGGGCATTCTTTGGTGTTCCTTGGTTGAAAAAGGCATATGTGGTTATTGAG